GTGCATCGCTTTCAAAGACACATGCTAATACATTTCATTTAAATGCTATTATATGCTAATTAATTAAATTCAATTTATGTTATTAATTCAATAAATTAATCATCCGCTGTAACCGACATTTGTTAATAAATGCCACAAAATTAAAATCAAAAACAGTTTTTTATGAAAAAATAAACTTTCTACTTTATTGGTGTTATTCATTATTAAAATAGCATATAGAATCAAGTACTGCGTATAATATAGAGAGCCTCTATAAGCATAATAAACTACCAGAATACGTATGGTCAACATTATCAGCAGTGAATATTGCAGCAAAAAGTAATTAAGGAATAGCAAACAAATTATTATAAACATGAGGAGGCTGCTTCAATGGAATAGATAGATGCAATTAGCAAAAATGTTATATGATAGAATACTACGAAATATATATCAAAAATATTTTTTTTTTTACTCATATTGAGCATCGTACCCTTCATCATTAGTGAATTAACTATTGTATTTTAATTTATTCGCACTATAATAAGATGATAAGAATAAACGTGTAAGTAGTCTGATCAGATCAATGCATGATTATCATTTCATTGGTTAAGTTATAGGTTTAGCATCCAAGCTTTGTAGATTAAATCTGTTCTTTTCTTTTCAATTTAACGTGGAATGAAATTTCAGATCCAAAATTTTAGTTTCTTTTAATATTTTGATCTGAAAAATTAAACAAAACTAAGGAGGTCTACACTATATTAGGATTGAAGTACCCCAGTACCTGAAATTTTGAGAAGGTAGCTAGTGTTCTGAAATCTGAATAATATGATTCTGGTAGATCGTTGATGGCTCCACTCTAGTCGGCGATGGGTTGTACGTAGCATTAATGCGGCTAACTCCATGCGTCTTTCTCATGTAGCTAGTTCCAAAGTTTCATGCTTTGATACTTTCAAGGCAAAACTTTTGTTCCTTTGTTTTTATTGAAACTTTCATACGTAGTAATTGACAGCAAATTATCTTCATCATAACACAACTGACCTTTAATTTACACGGCCTAAACTATGTAAGTTGAAGTGCTATGCCAGATCGTCAGCGGCCCAGACAAAACAATGAGATCGTTTTCATAATCTTATTGTTCCCCGGCAGGCATGGATATCGACCTTCAATGTCGACAACAACTTCAACGGCGAAAACCAAAAAAAGGAAAGAATGGAAAGGAAAACAAAGTTAAGGTTAGAGCTCGTGCTGATAACGTGTGATAGTCTGAATCCAATCATCCTTCTCATTAACATGTACATGTATATATACAAGGGGAATCGGGGATAGGGTTACATATGGGATGGGCTGGACTCTAACAATACTAATGGGCTAGATATCATAATGGACATCCACATATTACATAACAATAACAATAATAATAATAATAATAATAATAATAATAATAATAATAATAATAATAATAATAATAATAATAATTAGGGGTGTGCACTAGCCGGTTTTAACCGAAAAACCGGACCGAACCGAACAAGAAAAACGGGAATCGGATCAAACCAGAATGATATCCGGTCCAGTTTGGTCCGGTCCGGTCCGGTTTTGAACCGATGTACACCCCTAATAATAATACGGAGTAATAATAATAATAATAATAATAATAATAATAATAATTAGGGGTGTGCACTATCCGGTTTTAACCGAAAAATTGGACCGAACCGAACAGGAAAAACGGGAACCGGATCAAACCAGAATGTTATCCGGTCCAGTTTGGTCCGGTCCGGTCCGGTTTTGAACCGGTGCACACCCCTAATAATAATAATAATAATAATAATAATAATAATAACAATAATAATAATAATAATAATAATAATAATTAGGGGTGTGCACTAGCCGGTTTAAACCGGAAAACCGAACCGGACTGGAAAAACCGGAACCGGATCAAACCGGAATGATATCCGGTCCGGTTCGGTACGGTCCGGTCCGTCTTTGAACCGGTGCACACCCCTAATAATAATAATAATAATAATGATAATAATAATTAGGGGTGTGCACTATCCGGTTAAAACCGGAAAACCGGATCGAACCGGACCGGAAAATCTGGAACCGGATCGAACCGGAATGATATCCGGTCCGGTTCGATACGGTCCGGTCCGATTTTGAACCGGTGCACACCCCTAATAATAATAATAATAATAATAATAATAATAATAATAATATTAATAATAATAATTAGGGGTGTGCACTAGCCGGTTTAAACCGGAATACCGGACCGAACCGGACCGGAAAAACCGGAACCGGATCAAACCGGAATGATATCTGGTCCGGTCCGGTCCGGTCCGGTTTTGAACCGGTGCACACCCCTAATAATAATAATAATAATAATAATAATAATAATAATAATAATAATAATAATAATAATAATTAGTGGTGTGCACTAGCCGGTTTAAAACGGAAACCCAGACCGAACCGAACGGAAAAACCGGAACCGAATCAAACCGGAATGATATCCGGTCCGGTTCGGTACTGTCCGGTCCGGTTTTGAACCGTTGCACACCCCTAATAATTATAATTATTATTATTATTATTATTATTATTATTATTATTATTATTATTATTATTATTATTATTATTATTATTATAATTAGGGATGTGCACTAGCCGGTTTAAACCGGAAAACCGGACCAAACTGGACCGGAAAAATTGGAACCGGATCAAACGGGAATGATATCCGGTCCGGTTCGGTACGGTCCGGTCCGATTTTGAACCGGTGCACACCCCTAATAATGATAATAATAATAATAATAATAGTAATAATAATAATAATAATAATAATAATTAGGGGTGTGCACTATCCGATTTAAACCGGAAAACCGGACCGAACCGGACCAGAAAAACTGGAACCAGGTCGAACCGGAATGATATCCGGTCCGGTTCTGTACGGTTCGGGTCGGTTTTGAACCGGTGCACACCCCTAATAATAATAATAATAATAATAATAATAAGAAAAATTGGTTGTAAATGGGACTAAACAAGTCCGGATATGCTCACATTGGAGTGCTTTTGTTCTTGTTCTTAAATAGGACCACATTTCCGTATTATTCCTATTTTACCCTTAGTTATTTGTCTCCTCCACTCAAGTTCCAAGACCCCTATTTTTTTCTCTTCGTTTTCTATTTGCTTCGCAGGTAAGTGTTGAACGACTCCCAGGCAACGGATGACAAAGTCATGGACGACGATGGGATGATGAATGGAAAGCAATCGGAAAATTCCATGAACGGCGGTGAGGTGTGTTGCACACAGGATGACTGTCAAAGTCTGACAGAACAGGCTCTTGGTTCATCTTTTCGTCGCAGGAATACCGGAATAGAGCTCAGAGGTCTGTGTGTTATTTGGTTGTTAACAAATTCCAAAGTTAATCCGAAAATGCCATCAAAATGACATTCTTACACTTCAAAAATTCCATATTTTGTTGTGAAAATGCCATTTGGATGGCATTCTGGATTAATGGTTGACATTTCGATAAAAATGTTGGCATAAGCAACGAGATATGTCAGATCTACATCGGCGGAGGTTAGATCTTTAACGGCGGAGGTCGGATCTAATATGGCGGCGACCAAATCTGCAAGGCCGGCAGCCAGGGGAGGCCAGATATGCTCAGATCTATGGCGGCGGCGGAAGAATCTGCATCGACAACGGCCAGATCCGCAGCGACAGTGACCAGATCTGTACCGGCGACCAGTTCGACAGTGGTGGCGGTGGCCGGCGGCTACCGGAGACCGGGGGCGGCATGGTGTTTGTCGGCTGCAGTAAGTTAGCTTGAGGGTATATTTGTCCAGATACAAATATTAACTCTTATTTGGGAAAATTTTAAACTTTAGTCCTATTTTAGCAATTAAAGATTTGTTTACTCCTATTTAGGTAAATACCTCTAATAATAATAATAAAATATGGTTTGGTCTGGTCTGGTCTGTTTTAGTCCGGTCTGGTCTATTTTGGTCTGGTCTGGTCGTGTCTGGTCGTGTCTGGTCTGGGACGAATTACGGTCCAAGTAAAAACAACCTCACAATCAGTTTTTTCAAAGTTACTCCCAACTTGTCAAAAAATGTCTCTTGGAAATATTTAACCACTTAGAAGTATTTCTGCATTATCATCCAAACACTTCAATATTTATTTTTTCTCGTTGAATGAGTAGAAACATTCTTAAGAAGTACACCCAAACACCTTACTGAAGAATGATGATGGTTCCCCTTTTTAAAAATGTGAAAATCTATACAATTCACAAGGGCGGCCGTGACGACGATGGCCGCAGGACCAAATAACTCCGGAAGGCCTCCAATCAAAAGTTAACTTTTATTTAGAATGTTTTGGACTGAAATTTGCTGGTGTAATATGATCTGTTAAGTCTAATTTAGTTTGAACTGATATCGTTTGATCTACAAATGTCCGATCTTTTTATAAATTTCAAAGTCTGTTTGGATCTAGTATGGTTAGGTGTGATCAAATATGATTTGTTTTTGACCTGAGGGCCCCCAACCCCGATCGGATATAAATTGGACTATAATCCCAATCTGACAGATAGAGAGTGAAGCTCTGTCCCGATACTTGCAGAGACCATTTTCATTTTTAGCATAGTAACCCCTTATCGCAGTTGCCGAGATTCGAACCCGGGACCTAGCCTTTCACTCCCTGGCTGTACTTCTTAAGAATGTTTCTACTCCCTTTATATTAAAAAGAAATGGAAGAAGAGATTTTCACGGCCATCGTTACTCTTTATATTAAAATAGAAAGAATATATTTTACTCCCTTTAAAATACTCTGATCAGTCATCACTCCGTCTGTCGGAAGTAACAAATAGAAGCAAACGAAAGATTCAAAGAGAACGCAGAAAATGAGGAGGAGTTGGAAGAAGAGATGGAGTTGGGGGGCATCGTTCTTAGTATATTTATTAAGAATCGTAGTGTGTGTAAGCTTGTGAAATCTAAGGTTGTTTGGTTTTATTTAGTTTGTCGAAGTTAATAATAGAGGCACAGGAATTTCGTTTTATTTTAAGTTTGTTGAACTTTCATTTACACTACTAAATTGCCAGTTTTATAAGAAATGGTATTTCATTGAAGAGATTTTTAGACTTTCTATTACAACATTATTTCACCACTGGCTAGTGTAGTGTGTGATAGAAACAGTTCAACTAGAGCATATAAAGAGACAATATCTGTATTAATTGAGAGATTGTAATATCTTATACTGTAATTGATGGATCAGGGGATTCCATTGGATTTGGTCCTGAAGGTACCATTCTTTTCTCCCCCTCTTTCACGATCCAATAAAGTTGGTGACTATTAGACACATCTGTCGAAGTCAATGATGTCATTGGTGGTCCAGTCGGGTTTGGATCGGATGGAACTTTCCCCTTTTCATTCTCCTTCATAACCCAATATGGTATCCTTAAACTGGCTGGTGGTTCCATCGGGTTTGGGCCGTTAGGCACTGATCTTTTCTCGTCTCTTGGAATCAATGATGATAGGGGAGGTTCAATCGGGTTTGGGCCGTTGGGGACTAATCTTTTCTCGTCTCTTGAAATCAATGATGATAGGGGAGGTTCCATCGGGTTTGGGCCATTAGGCACTGATCTTTTCTCGTCTCTTGAAATCAATGATGATAGGGGAGGTTCAATCGGGTTTGGGCCGTTGGGCACTAATCTTTTCTCGTCCCTTGAAATCAATGATGATAGGGGAGGTTCAATCGGGTTTGGGCCGTTGGGCACTAATCTTTTCTCGTCTCTTGAAATCAATGATGATAGGGGAGGTTCCATCGGGTTTGGGTCGTTAGGCACTGATCTTTTCTCGTCTCTTGAAATCAATGATGATAGGGGAGGTTCAATCGGGTTTGGGCCGTTGGGCACTAATCTTTTCTCGTCCCTTGAAATCAATAATGATAGGGGAGGTTCCATTGAGTTTGGGCCGTTGGGCACCATTCTTTTCATATCGGTTGGAGGCAATGGTGGGAGTGGTGGTTCCATTTTGTTCGGACCGGATGGAGCTTCCCTCTTCACATCATCTCGGCTCGCCCCCTCCTTGATTAGCCAATAGGGGTGGGGAATGGGATGACGGAAACTACTATGCATTGGATTTGGGTGATGATTTTGGATATAAGATTCTGATGCAATAGTTAGGAAGAGAAGTGAGAATATCAACATATGGAGTTGATATCCGAACGTTATGTTTAAGACCCAAGAAGGATACATCTCCATAGTGTTGTTTTGGATAAGTAAATGTGACTGGTGATAAACAATGGAGTAGTCTCCCCTATATATATACTCAGAGATTTAAATGTATGTGGTCTTGTTTTACTTTGAATTGTTTGATTTGAATGCACAAAATGTTATATATTAATGATAGTTCCTTATAAAAATGATTATGGTTTTCTATTGGTTTTCAGCAATACATTTGTTATTAAGTGAATATCATTTGTTACCTATTTTGATACATCGGAAAGGATCTGATCATCCGTTACTATGACTTGTAACTTATCTTTTTTTTATGACTTGTAACTGATCAATTGCATATAACTTGCATGATTTCATCAATAATACACGGAGTAATAATTTGTGTATAATCATGATAGAGAACCTTCATTTTTTTGAATTCGAATAGGCCGAGAAGAAATACGAATTCTTATGAGTCCTTTTTATTTTGATTCCCAAAAAAAACAATCATTTCCAAATTGATTATTCAATAAATAAAATAACCTTAATAAGAACAATAACATCATAGCTGCAAACTGCCCGCAATCGATTAGTATCAAGTTTATTATTTTCATTTAGATTTTTGGATAAATGAACTGATCATATCTATATTGGTTAATATATAAAGCAGGCATTTTCTTATTTATAATAATAACAATAACAATAGTACGTAGTATTGTTTAGTATAATAAAGGTATTCTTTTGATTTTGTTTGTTTTTATAAATAAATAAACAAATAAGATGATCATTTCATATTTGTACAAAAACTGTAACTACAACTAGTCGGTATCAAAATTATTCTTTCCGCTACAATTTACTTTTAAATAACCATTTCTATTTTAATCTCAATAAATAAAATTATATTTTCTTATTCGTAAACGTAATAAAAAAATTATTGCAGTAAAAGTAAATACATGTTTATTGATATTTGTAATTTAAGTGAAATTTGTGGATTCCGTTAAATAAGCATTAATATACTTATAGTGAGCATCAGATCTATAAATGAGTATTGAGAGTCTAATAATGAGCATCGCGATATCCACTTTATATCTCATAATTCACTTTCAATTTATAATTTTTAAAAACATCTACAATGAAAGCGTATAAATCTAATATGTGAATTTAAAGAAATATTATATTTTTGAAATATCCATGAATATGACATTTTAAAATGAGTATTACACCAATATCAAATGAACGTACATTAATTACGAAATGAATATCGAACAATTCAAAAAGCTCATTCAAATTTCTACTATGTTCAACTTTTTATTTGTGTATGCTCATATCTGTACAAACAAGCTACCAAACTCACCAAATCTGCGTCAGAAAGGAGAAAAGGAGCCAAATTCAGTGTTGACACCCCTTTCTTCGTCGTCAATCGCAAAATTCATCCATAGCCTCTGTTGAGAGTTCCATCATCGCAGTTCCGATATGGTGGTTGACGGGTTCCAGCTGAAGAGATCCAAGAGGTGAGTGACGAGCAAAGCGACGAGCAATGCGCAGTGGAGGAGAAGAGATACGACAATGCAAGCGAAACTACAAGGGACGATGAGTAGTTGTAGTCGCACACCTCTTCCCTTAACTAGAATCGTTTCCGCCCTTGCTCGTTTCGATAGCTAGAACCTGGAGTTCTGAAATCTCAAGGAATATGAGTTGTATCTCTGTGTGCAACTAAAGTTTCCTACCTCAATGGCGGGACTAATCAGGTAGATAGAATCGAAATCAATTTTGGAGGGTAATTTTTTGAAAAAATATATTCTAATTAATTCGAATTTCATAAAAGTTCAACTATTAACATTATTTTCAACCACAATCTGAACTGCAGAGAAAAGTTCAATGGATTTATAGAGTACTATTGTGTGTTTTATATAAATTCCAGTTGGACAAACATCACGACCTCGACAAGGTGCATTGGGGAGGCCCGTGAGGATTTCATTATTTGGGTTATGACATTCATCCCATGTGGTTAGACATTTCATACATCAATTAATATGTGTCACAAATTTTTTAATGTTAAAAGCCTAACCGTGAAGATGCTCTAATATTAAGGTTGTGATTTTTAGTGTCAAGACTATTCTTTCAATATTTTTTAGTAAAATGGTTATGTCTATATTGATTTGTTAATTAATAACCACAACCTTTTCCCTATTGATATTAATAATAAGTCATAGCAACAACTTGTTATTATAAAAGTTCTACTTTTTGTTTTGACTCCTTAAAAATGGAGTTAAATATCTAACTAGGAGTAAAAGATCGCAATATATATCGTTCAGTCGGTTGTACCGTGCGCATGGTATAACCAGACTTTTAGTTCGCAGATCGCAGTTCGCAGTTCGCTAGCTTCCATCACATATGTTCGCAGTTCGTTCGATCGCACTTCGCTCGCTGCTCGCACTTCGCTCACCCCCGTACACAAATGAGTGAAATGACGACTCGCCACTCGCAATCCTCCATCACGAACGCAGCACCACAAACTCCGGCTCGCCCAGAGACGTCGGCTCCCCGGGTGTATAGCGCTAGTTGCCTCTCTCCTTCTCTCTTTCTTTGCATTCTTTTCCTTTTTATTTTTTTCCTACACATATTTGGTTAGTTCGGACACTTGTTGGCCGTTAGGAGAAACCTTAGTTATACGTAGTTTTACGGTTAAGAGCACACACAAATGAGATTCTGAGTAATAATGCCACCGGCTGTACGGTCCAAGCCGTACAACCATAGTACGATTTACGGACTCGTAATAGGTAGTTTAAAATCACAAATAGGACTACATTGTTTTAAATTCCCTAGTAGGACTAATTATGTATGTGTGTATGGACAAATATACGGATATCCCTCTGCAGTTTTTTCGGCTAAAATAAACATTTAATAAAATTAATAATATAAAAAATAGAAAAAGAAAAAGTATAAATTTAAAAGTAAAATAAAAAAAAATAAAAAAAAATAAAAAGAAAAGAGAAAAATAAACCGTCGCCTCCGCCACCTCCCAGCACCACCAACCATGATCTCCGAAAAAATGCCAACATACATTAGTAATGCCACATCGATAGCAGTTTCAATGAAAATTTTGACATTATCAAAGAGTAATAATGTTATTTTCTTGGCATTTTCACCGATCGGAGGTGGTGGTGCTAGGAGACGATAGAGGCGGTGGGAAAGACATCCATATATTATTTTAATTTTTTAATTTTTTTCAATTTTTTGTTAAAACTTTTATTTATAAATATTTTATTAATTTTATATAATTTGATATAATTTTTGTTAAAATCAGATTATTATTTAAAAAGTTTAATCGGTTTTTAAACTAAAAATATTTTATGTGATTTAACCTTTTATCTCTTCCTATTTTTTGGTAAGTGAAACCTCTAACGGATACACATTAAATTATTTTAAAAAATTACTTTGTTGCCCTTTATTAACATACTTGTGGATTAGAGAGAGCAAGGACATTTTTAAAATGATTGTACTTCCACCATATAAGTATGGACCATCGATGTTAATCACCGTCCATTTTATGAGAGAAGAGGCCACGATTTGTTCTCACGTTCTCACATTAAGGGTTGTTCTTATTAGAACTCCTCCCTATATATATATATATATATATATATATATATATATATATATATATATATATATATATATATATATATATATATATATATATATATATATATATATGGATAAACTATACTTGATGAGGCACATGCTCACAACATTTCATCAAGAAATTCCATCGGGAACCGCCCCAAATGACGATGTTCGGACGGTGTTCAGACCAGGGGCTGCTGGACAGGAGAATTCCTATATATATATATATATAGCGGATCTTTTCTATTATATATGTGTGTATATGTATATATATATATATTTTGAAAAAGGAAATTTTATTGAAGTAAAAAGGAATACAATGCATGAAGGAAAAAAATTAAATAAAGGTACAAGAAAGGAAAGAAATAAAAGTATTAAAATAAAGGAAAAGCAAAGCTAAAACAAGAAAAAGCTAATCCTATGGGAAATATGTGGATTGCGACCTGGTTTTCATGTTGTGACGCCTTTTGTTCTTTTGAGATTTTCTGTAGAGTTTGAGCTGCGTGTTCAAGTTTTCAGTTGGCAAGCAATTTTCTGAGGTTATGAATTTCGCTTTGTGCCAGATCGCTGTATTGAATTTGGATTTTTTAATTTCTTCCAGGAACGAGATAGGAGGACGACGATCGATTTCCGTTGCATGTCTCAAAAACTCATATGTAAAGAAATAGTCATCTGAAAAATCAAAATTGTGAGATGCATCGGAGTAAGCTTGGATCAATGATAGCTCAGGTTGTTCCCGAGAAGAGTAGACATCGAAATTTTCAATATCTCTTGCTTGATAATTGAAAATCAGTTTTGAAATTGATACGGTGGACCTTTCGTTACTTCCCATTTTTTTTAAGCCTGATGTACATTGCAGACAGTTTCAGGACCATTGTCCGTAGAGCGTCTGAGGATATCAACCCATGTGATTTTAGTTTTGCCAGTCTTATCGGCTGGGAGATTGTCGGGTGGTGGGTTGATATTAGCTGATCGGAACGGAGGCACCGACGAGTTTTCCGGCCGTCGTCTTTGGCCGCCGTGGTCTTTAACAGGTAAGTTATTGCGCTCACTCTTGGGTCGTCGCTCAGAGATGAAGTTTGAAATTCCACTAAATTTCTCACAGAAATCAGACACCGGATCTGATTCAACCTCAGAATCTGAGGATTGGGCGTATGGGATTTCATCTTCTATTCGTAAACACCTGTAGCGATTAGCGCTCCCTGTTCCACTTTTGTTCTGCTGGGCCGCTGGGGTGCCGGGAGTCTCTGCGATGGATCTTTTGGGCTTCGTCTTCCCTTGTATTTGACCAAATGCCAACCGTCTTCAGTGTTTTGGATTGGGTGAGGTTGTAGCATCGGTCCCTTTTGAAGTTATTTCTAGCTTCAGGACGGGCAGGGTGATTCCAATAGTCGTGTGTTAGCTAGCTCTAGGGTGATACGCAGGAGTCCAGCTTCTGCGTACTGGTCGTTGCCTGGTGTGAAATTCAGAAGTCCAGTAATCAAAAGGGTAGCTAGTATTCAATAGTCTATTACTCTGATGGCCTGCGTACTTCCAGTTAGCTGGCTCAAAAGGGTTTGAGCTGGAGTGAAACTCAGGTGACCAAATCCTCCGATTTGGGTGTTGCCTGGAGTTGTTCCAATTTAAAGGCTCATAGTATTGATGGAAAGGGATACCTGTTCTGGACGACCTGTGCCTTGTGCGTCTACGGCTCAAAAGCCTGAACTGTTGGTGTTGATTCCCAGCGTTGAAATTCCAAAAGTTGTTTGCCGGGGAATATTCCGGTGTGAACTGTATATTTTCATTGTGAAAAAGCTTTTGCCTGTATTGAGGATGCCGGATTTTTTAGAGAGATGAGAGAAGCTCTCACATATATGAGAGAAGCTCTCCCATATATGACCGGATTTTTTTAGAGAGATGGAAGATGTGAGCTGTGACACTCATATCTTGCTATATATATATGGTGTATATACAGTAGATCTTTTCTATTATATATATATATATGATAAAAGGGGTTTTTGGATGGATTTTTTTGGTATTCCTTCGATTCGAATGTAATTTTCTTTTTTCTCGAGTAAGGTTTTGTCCGCTCGAGTTTATTGTAAACTTTTTTTCCTTCTAATAATATCTGGTAAATGTTTCCTGACATTTACTCCACTGATTTTGGTGGTTTGCCTTCCGGGGGATCTTTATATTATATATATACGGAGTATATTTATAATCATGGTCAATAATTTATCCTGATTCTTAAACTTGGCAGTTGGCAACCATGTTTTTGTAAAATCATAGACTTTTTAATGTTCCCTACCCTTATTAAACGGTCAATATGTAATCTCTGCATTGATTCAATTGAAATTAAGCACTGAGTTTATAAGTTAAATTTGAGACCGGGTTTTCGGATTTACAATTTGTAAGATTATAAGAAAATTGTAAGATTATTTTTTTTATTTTTTATGCTGGATTTACATTGGGGAGAAGTCAAATTTATGTCAATCTTTTCAATTACTTTTACTTGAAAGTTATAGATATGAAACTATTAGTGTAGCTTTGAGAGTTTAGAGATGGAGTCCAAATTTTGTTGAGTCATTTTGTTTTGATCTAAACCATGTAGACTTATGGTGTTAACTTGCATGTAGACATTATTAGATACTTCGATATGCTCTTAAGAGTATTATGTTGAGTCCATGTCATAACATCTTCACACGTGGATAACTACTAGAGGTTTTTATTTCAATATTACTAAAAATTAATGTTGGACAAAAAAGTGATCATTTTCTTTAATTTTCAAATATGTGACTAATGAACATTAAATTTACGAAATTACCCCAACTCAGACTCCAGTGACATTGGTCATAGTGACACAGGCCTCTGTCCACAGTGACGTCGTGACAGTGACGCCGCCACAGTGATGCCGCCACAGTGACGCCGCCACAGTGATGCCGCCACAGTGACACCCGATTTTTTCAGTGACATCCAACAACACCGCCGCCGCCGTCCAATGGCCGCCTCCACCGCACCGCTTTAAACCACCGCCACCGTTTTAAGTGATGTCAACAAACCATCAGCCCCCAACCCATATCTCTTGGCCACCACCCTCCATCTTCGGCCCCAAACCTAGTTTTTCCGTCGCCGCCTTCGCACAGATATAAAAACGGCGCCGCCTTCACACAGATCTGGAAACGCCGCCGCCTTCGCACAGATCAGGAAACACCACCGCATTTGCACAGATCTGGAAATGCTGCCCCTAAAAGGTCCCTTAATTTTTTGTGCCGCTTCTGCCAATTTCATTCCGATAACCCCTATGTGGGAAACGGTGATGGAGGCGACGAAGGCCATGGCGAGCGAGCGCGGTGGCGATAAGAGAAACGACGACGGAGAGATGAAGAGAAGGGAGAGCGAGCGCGGCGATTATTTTTGTCATAAAAAAGGCCATCACTATCGTTGGTAGCGGTTGATGCCATCCACCGATGCTTTCTCTGGAGGTGAAGATGTACATATCGAAGGGAGAAGATGGTCATTCAACACGGAAGAACTATGACTTTGAAAAGGGTATTTTAGCTCTTTCATTTAATTTTAGTCACATTTCCGTCCTAATTGGAAGTTGAACACGTTTTTGTCTATTATTTCAGCCACATTTTCTAACTACTATATGGATATAATCACAAAAAATGACATAACTCAATTGTGGAATAACTTTTGAATTCAAATAATGACCGTATCATCTCTTCACATTACTCACTTAGAGGCAGAATATTTGAATAATTTATATTTTAATATAAATTATGCAAGTATCATGCCTCTCAGTGAGTAATGCGGATAGATAACTGAGATATTTGAAGTCAAGATTACAAATCACACAACGTTATGAACATCCGTGAAGGAGAATTATAACAAAATTAAAGACTTCATTGGCTTTCAGTGTGGGAATAATTGAGATGCTTAACATACTAGAATTTGAGACCCGGCTTGATACGAGTCAGCCTTCTGGATCTCTTCTAAACGACTATGAAGGTCGACGAAGGAAGCTTGGCGATGAACTAAGACGAAGGAGCAGGCTTCTCGGCGGGTTTATTCGATTCTATCAATTGGTCAGAGAAGAAGGAAGAGGAGGTATATGATACTGCGATTTTTAGGCATCCTGTGCAGGAGTATTTAATTTGCTCATGGTCAATACGTATTAGATTTGATTTATTTTTTTATATATATAATAATTTTTCCTGAATGATTGATGATGCACATTTCAATTTCACCTAATGCACGTTACAGTTTCATATATTGCACATTGAATTTCACTTAAAGCAAATCTAACGATCCATATTCATTCTCATTTCTCTCCTAAGATCGTGTTCTTATTTGAACCAAAACCTATATATATATATAAGATCTCATGAGAAGTCCTAATTAGGCTGAAAAGTGAGAACTCATTGTAGCCGTCCGATTACCTCTTCTCAGTTGTCCGATTGATGGCATTACCTCTTTTCATTAATGGCATATTTGTAATTTTCGTAAACTATAAATCTTTTTGTTAAACAACATGTTTGGCTCTGTATCCGCCTCTCCCTTAAACAACGTCGAACTGCAATTCATCGATGAAGTTTATCATCTACAACCTGTACTTGTTCCAGCGCCGTACAAGAGGATAGAACAAGTTTTGGTCACGACGACTGCCCATCGAAGACATATCGAAGGTCTGAATCATCTTCTTTTTTCCTAATCTGAACTACTAAACTCTTCCCTCATGTGCTTGAATATATGTGTTGCGATTGAATTTTACTTGGGATTTGGTTTTGATTTTGTGAATTCTAAATTATGATATAATCTATGGAGATTGAATTATCTTTCAACAAACAGTTTTGCTCTTTACTTTTTTGCCATATTTTTTCATAACTCAATCGAAACTATATATTGTGCCCATCATGTGTTTGTTAGAATGTTTTGAACCCTGATGGAATTTGTTCCAGCCTAGAGTGTACTTTTATGAATAACGAATGAATCTCATTGACGACTTTTTTTATTAAAACTTTCTCTATATAGTTATAGTTTTGTCCTCTTAAATTTACATTTTTATTACTATTTAAACCTTCTAACCTTTAGACCAGAGTTTTCAATAAAAGTTATATATTTTGATTTAATAGTTATTGTTATTTGAGTAAAAGTTTTTTAGTTGGCAGAGAACCTCAAATTCCAATCACTATGTATAGTACTTTGAAAGATTGAATTGATGTAGGAAACCCAAAGAATTGATTTTGGAACTCAAACCATTGGCCTTGAAATAGAATAGTACTAGGGGTGCATTAGTTGTTTTGGATTTTTTTCTTTGCAGCAGTTTTGGAGCTTGTTTTTTAATTGAGTATTGCATGATATTGCATCAACACTCCTTTATGATCTGTTAGCTGAAGTTGTAATTATGTATAAATCATTTTTTGTTGACTGAATTTTCTTTGTCTTAATGTTTATTGCTTTTCAGTATAATGGATCAAGTTGATGATGTTGATGTTGTTGATGTGAACTCAACTGTGAACTTCACTCCATTCTTGAGCACTTGCTTTTCTTCTAAACAATGGATTCCAGCTTTCCTCCTGATTGTACACCTGTTGTTGGTATGACTTCCTCTTCCTTAGGAGATGCTAAGCTCTTTTACAATCAGTATGCTTCGATGTGTGGATTTGAAGTGCGGTTAGGAAGTGATAATAAACATTGAGATGGTACTGTTTTAAGGAAATATTTTCTATGCAACAAACAAAGTTTTAAAGAGGATAGTGACAATAACCAAAAGCATGTGCTTAAATCTGAAAAACAGAAATCTGGTAAAAGTGCACCTCGCCGAACTGTCCTAAAGAGAACAGGCTGTGGTGCTTGTATGAAAGTCCGTTTTTCTTCTTTTGGTTCTTATACAGTATACCAGTTTCATGAGCCACATACACATGAGTTTACTACTCCCAAGAGTCAAATGTTTCAAAAGCAAAACCGTAATATGACTGTGGTTCATAAGAAATTTATTTTTGAAATGTGAAGCTTAACAAGGGAGCAAGTTTGTCTTTTCATGTGATGAAAGAACATGTCGGTGAGTATGCAAACATTGGTGCTTCTTTAGTTGATTTTAAGAACTGTTATCGTGATTTGAAGACATATGTTAAATATGGAGATGCGCATATGTTTATTGAGTCTTTTAAGCAAAAGGTTGCTCATTCAAGTGGTTTCTTTTTTGATTATGTTGTTGATGAGACTCAGAGATTGACTAGAGTTTTTTGGGCAGATGCATTATGTAGGAAACATTATGCATTGTTTGGTGATATGGTTACTTTTGATTCCACGTTTTCTACGAATAAATATTCTATGGTTTTTTCACCTTTTACTGGGGTAGATAACCATCGTAAATGTATTACCTTTGGGTCTGCTTTGATTGCTAATGAGGATGATGATTCATATACATGGGTTTTTGAGACATTCTTGCGGTGTATGGGTGGTTGTCAGCCTATAAGTATCGTGACAGATCAAGACCCTGCTATGAAAATAGCTATACCCAGAGTTTTTGACAAGGCAAAACATAGGCTTTTCATGTGGCACATAATGAAAAAAGTCCGTGAAAAAGTAGGGTATAAACTTTGTGATGAAACTGATTTTCTTCTCCGTTTGAATGTTCTTGTGTGGAATCATGATCTAGAACCGGATGAATTTGTTATTGGTTAGTTGTCCTTTATGGCTGATTTTGGATTACAGAAACACGACTGGTTTGTGAATTAGTTTGATATTAGAGAAATGTGGATTCCTGCCTATTTCAAAGATGTATTTTTAGGTGGAATTTTAAGATCTACTCAAAGATGAGAGAATGAAAATAATTTTTTTGACCACTTCTTAAACATATTCCTATCTTTGGTTGAATTTGCATCTCACTTTCAAACTGCCATAGAGTCCCAACGTTATCACCATGACCAGTTGCATGCTAATTCCAAAAAATCATTTCCTCAATTGCTCACACCATTACCACTTGAGAAGCATGCTTCTGAACTTTACACCCTCACTGTTTTTTACTTGTTTCAAAGTGAGTGGAAAGCCGCGTGTTTTTCTTGTGGTATTCAACGCTTCACTACTGATGAATCGGGCTGTGATCATGTTTCTGTTGTTGATATTCTTCGTGAAAAAACATATGAGGTTACACATAACCCCGTTGATCATGATAGTTCTTGCTCTTGCAAGATGTTTCAGAGGGAAGGTTTATTGTGCCGTCATGTTCTATTCATTATAAAAGGTAAAGGTGTTCGGGAGCTGCCCAGTCAATATATACTGAATTGTTGGACAAAAAAGCTTTGGAAAAGCCTATATTTGACTGTTCTGGGAACATCTTGGATGGATGTGCTGCTCATTCTAAAAATAAATTGGTGGGTGATCTTTGGTCTTCTTTTTTTAGTTGTGTTTCTCTTGCTGAGAGTTTAAATGATGATCTGCAGAAGTTATTGGACATGGTTGAATCTTTCAAAGGCTTAATTCTTTCAAAACATACTTCCAATGATGTTGGAAAAGGTTCAAATGACATTGAAAGCCTCTTAGGTATCAGCTCTTCATCAGAATATAGTATTCATCCTCCCAAGATTTCTGTTAATAAAGGCAGAAAAAAAGAATTATTAGTGAGCGTGAAAAAGCCATACTTAAGAAGAGGTCAAGTAATGTGGATAAGAGTGATGCTTGTGCCACAAAGGATCAAGTCAAGAAGCCAAGAACATGCAAATCTTGTGGTGAAGTTGGTTTCCATGATAGTAGAAACTGCCCTAATAAAGAATGTGATACTCTTCAAGGTAATGCCATGTTTACTATTTTAATTGTTTTGTAACTTTTCAATGTTTAACTGCTATTTTTTTGAGTTGTTAATAAATTGGACTCGTCTCAACTTAATGCCTCTTGCTGTCTTTCCAAGTTCTGAACCGAAGTTTGAATAATTTTGTTGCTTTAGTTTTGCATTTTGCCGAATAATTAGTTTAGTTTGTGATGAAGTTGGTTTCCATTATTGTTAAAACTGTTTTAGACACTTCTTCAAGTTAATAACTTGCTAACTATTTTAATTTTTTCATAGTTTTACACTTTCTAACTGCCATTATTTTATTTTTTGCAGTTGTTGATAATCTGGACTCATCTCCACTTGCTGCATCTTGCTGTCTTGCTGGCTTCAGTTTCTGCATTTTGCCAAGTTGCTGATTTAACTTTTCATTTTATTGGCTTCGGTTTCTTTTAGTTGATATGATGTGATTCATAGTTGTAATGATACTTTCAGCATTTAACACAATGGCCTTTATCACATCTGAAATGTTTCACTCTTTTCTTCTTAGCTTCAGTTGTGTTTTCCTTGTCAATTTCTTGTTTTTAGTGTTGAGTGTTAACTTGTGTACATCACCGCCAAGCAACTTCTAGAATAACTTCATCCACTGTCATCTTTCTTTAGTACCTCAAACTTCTCTTTGATCTTCTCCAATAAAGATGAATTTATATACGTTTATAACTAATAGATCCAAGATAGTAACTTCTAAAACTAAATTAATAATTTTTAATTAACATTAGGTGACAACATCAAAATCAGTAGTTATATAATTTATGCTACACTAAGTAAATTTTACTATAAAGATTTTGCATTACCATTAAAAGTTATATTTTTAAGGTCAGGAGTTGTACTGATCCTACAAGCAAGTGCTTGTTAGGAGTTGCTCAATAGATCAAACTATTAGTTAATCATGCATGGTACTCACTAACCATCATTATATTTTAACACACAAAATCTAATTTAGAATGAAAACTGATGGGTTGAAGTGAATTTTAAGGGAGATAATTGCTAATACGTGATTTAAAAAATGATGTATTTTTAATAAAAGCAAAATACCAAGTGGCCAGCAAGCCAAACATCCTATAAATACGCATTTTGACAAAATCTTATAGATGCATTACTAAAGCAGATAAAACATGCCATCAATCATTTAAATGTTACTTGTATTACAAAATCATAAACATTTGAGAAAATCTTATCAGAGTATTTAACACATAATCTTGGACAATCATATCATATATTGAGAACTTATAGTGCATGCATTGTTCAATTAAGTACTAGAGTTGTATTACAATGCCCTTTTTCCTTCTTTTATTTCTTTCATTTTTATGAACTGCTCAATCTTCTTCTTTACTTCGTTCCACATTTCATTTTTTTGATACCTCGTAAGTAACGAACATATCTCTGCCCGATGAAACTTTCTATCTTCCACCTGTTAAAAATAATCTTATTAGTTCGTTATATATCCCAAACAAAATAAAAACAATTACCATCAAATATAATAAAAAGTTTTACTAACCTTGTTGAGAGTATACTTAAAGCTCACTCCCTCAAACAAGAACATTGTCATGAGCAAGTATACACTACAATCATTACTTTCTCTGTTGATTTTCCAATCAAAGTTCACATCTTCAAACTCATACTTTGCCATTTGTTTTACCTTTGGGTGCTTTTTCTTCTTCAAATAGATTGACATCTCTAAGCACTGTTTTGAAATAATTGTTGAAAACAATCATGTTTTTTAGTTCTATATCAATAATTATATCAATTAAAAAGAATATTTAACAACTTTTACCAGTATTCCAGCAAGATATTTAAGAATACTAACGTCTTCCTTTTTTCTGTAGTCCACCAACTGTGCTTTCTTTGACATTGTATTTATAAAAAGTGACGTATAGTGGTTGTTGTACAGAAATGGAATCACTATCTGCAAGTAGATCCATAGCACAACATAATTTCTATATATTTGTGACTTATTTTGAATATTTTTGTGAAATAATTACTTACAAAATTTGCTTCTGCAATGTCCCATTGTTGGTTACTCGAAGAAATCCATTCATCCCATGCTCTATGTAAGGCATTCCTTGATTCATTATCAAAACCCTCTTCCATTATCTTAGTCAATATGGCCTGCACAAAGATTTCATATCGTATTAATCCCTATTCAAACTTTTAAAAAAGTTGCTTTCATATTATTATTTAAAACACATATCTCATAACTTTTTGGTGCGGGAGAAGGATTTATCATAAAATAAAATATGAACTTGTTAAATCTTACTGAATGAGAAATCCCAAAGTAGAATCTTTTTCCCAATTCCTGATCCAATATCAGCTCTTCTTCATTCAGATAAAATGCCCAACAGTTAACAATTTCAGCAAGTATAAACTTTGTTGAACCCAAGCAGATCATATTCTCCTTTGTTATACAAAGTCTCCTGTTGAAACTCACAATCAATAATCTGGAAAACAAGAAATAAACATATTAACTTATTACATAATTTCAGTAACTAATTAATGATTATTTGTAACTTGTTATATATTATTCTAGGCTCTTTATAACTGTAAATTAGAACGAAGTATTTCTTATTAATTCTTACTCTTTTTCCATTTCAGCATCATAAAAGCAATAGTCCACAAGATGCTTATCATAATCTTTCATTGACTGCCAACGTACAGAACGCCTTTCCTTCATGAACTGTGATAGGAATGCATTGCGTTTTTTGTTTCTCCCTTCTATGTTCTTATCTACACATTGTTGTTCCCCTTGTTCATTCCCACCAGCATCTTCCCCGGTTACTGGTACAACACAAGGTTGTTCCCCTTGTTGATTCCCACCGGCATCTTCCTCGGTTACTGCTACAGTAGTATTCTCCATCTCATTTATTTTTGTCAGTGTTCTCTTCTTTTGTGTGATTTGCTTGATATCCATCAGCCAATCAACTACAACACCCACAATCTCAAACGTTTTAGGGTCATTAAAAATTTTGTCCCAGCTGCTTGTGGATTGGGAGCTTTGGTTTTGGCTAACTTGTTCTTCAAATTTCATGTCTTGTTTTGGAGACATATGAACCCGGAAAACGAGTTCCACATCCCTTTTCACCAACATGAGAGTTTTACTTTTCTCCTAAAGAAAGGAAAATAAATAGAAAATAATTCTTTAATTAATATTTTTTCTTGAAAAACAGATTACTTATTAATAATAATGGTTAACTTTTAAAGCATATATCAGAACTTCTAAATAAAGTTACTCACATCTTTTGCTTTTATGTTAATATCATCATCAGTGGGCATTCCTTCAGGGATATCATATCTGATGAACCTCGATCCCTATTCTTCCCTGTTGAATGTTTCAATTTGTTTTTGAAAACAATTGTTCTGTTTTGAGATCGGGTAGTCGTAATCAATTGGACCTCTACCGAAATCACCAGCTTTGATTTCATTATTATTTACCCTTGCTTTCACTTTCTCAGAATTCCAATTCTTGATCAAGGGCGGTGTTTTTGGAACTTCAACTCCTTTGAAAACTAACCTTTGAAAGTACAGAATTCGGACAAGCAACAAACATCCTCCCACAAATGCATTTTCAGGATTTCTTTTGAACCTTTGCACTGCACAATTTTTTCAGTACATAACCACACAAGTTTAAATGCTTGATCTAGCTGACATCTTCTAATGCAACCACCAATTGTAAAGAAGCTGTCCTATTAGGATGTTTTTACTTGGACTG